TGAAGATCTGGACAAAGACCACAGGGATGATGAGTAGGGAAGGGACTTGATAAATATTAGGTGGTAGAGGGGATGGGACTGAGTGGACGGGTAGGAGTGGTATTTAGGAATGGTTGAGCCTTTCCCTCAATTCTTACTTCAGAGACCAAACTGGTGCAATTCACCTTGAAATTTGTACAGTAGGTGGAAAAAGATTTGTATTATTTTGGAGATTTTTAGTTCGATACGCCTGTGGCGTACTCAAGAAAAGTAAATAGGCAGCAAAAATATAAACTGAATTCAAAAACAGTTGAATTAGAGATACAGAATAGGGAGTCCTAGGTGTATAGGTATATTTAAAACCATAAATTACGTGACGTTTATGCAGTAAATATAAGGAAACATATATAATGAGTAAAACAGGATTGGGGAAGGCAATGATAGATGGAGAGAGAGAAGCCAATGAGCCTGGACTGAAATTAAAAATATTTAATAACCTATATAAAAGTATGAGTGGATCAAAATATTTTAAAATTCCCTTTAATTTTTCAAAGAAAATATCTAATTCTCCAAAGATTTCTATCTATGTATCTATGTACCTATCTAATATCTATCTACTCCTGGAATATATTTTGGTGTAAGTAAGCTATCAAATTTTTCCAATGATTTTCAACTCACTTGTTTCATCTGATGTAGCTGTTGCTAGTTGAGTAACTCTGGTCCTTGAACTGTGCTCTGACATGGGAACAACATCAAACTCTTCCAACAACTTCTTTATACGTTTGTAGTCATTAGTCAACCCTGAATGTGTTTTTTCTTAGAGCAATTGACTCAATGAGATCAACTGGATATCTGGATAGAAAAATGGAGTAAGAGAGAGAGACTTTTGAACCTGCTATGACTCTGCTTCCATTTGTAAGACGTTAGACTATATTATTCTACTAGGATTTTTTCCTATTATTCTAGTCTATTATTATATTATGAATTTTTAACTTGTATTATTTTACATGGGTTTTCTAAATATTCAATTTTTATACATTTAGCATTAACACATTTTACAACTAGTATTCTCTATTACTTTAGTTTTCTGTAAGTTTTAGAGTTTATAAAATTACTTACATTATTTTAACAAAACTCTCTGAAAATGTAGAATGGCCAGATATTGCTTTGAGGCTTTCTAAGTCAGACTTGGTAGTTGTTGTTGTTTTGTTTCTCTTCCAGAATGCAAAATTAATTGACAGACACTTAATCCTAATTTGGGGTTTTGCCTTATTCTTTCTCCCTCCTTCATTACTTCCCTTCTTTATTTTTTCTCTGCTTCCCCCTTTTTCATCCTCTTCTCTTGCTCCTTCCTAATAATTTAAAATAAACCCACTATTCAAATGCCTGATTTATGAATTCCCTAAACTTTTAATGAATTGAGGCAATGAAGCACCCAGGACCTGGTTTCTATCCCTATGCCCTCACTCACCTTCTCTGATTCAGGAGCTCCTTCTTTCTCCTCTCTTCATGTAAAAGTCTAGTTACCCTGGAAAGCCATTTACAGATTTACCTTCTCTAGAGGATTTTTAAAAATACCTTCAACCAAATCACCTGTCCTCATTTGAATACGTATCATATTTTGCTTACCTTGGTTCTTACCTTGGTCAATAATTTACTTAACTCTTCCAATAGATGGAAAGACACTTAAAGAAGAGATTGTATCATTAAAAAAATTCTTTAATTTCTTCAACCCCTTTGTAAAATACCGTGTACCTAGTCAGTGCCCATCTGCTGAAGTCAGTTACACAAAATAAAATCAGAAGTCAGTTTCATCCAGAAAATTCAATGTAAGCCCTTACAGAACCCCCAGCCTAGTCTTTCAGTCCCCATGATTCTATCATCCAGTTTGCTGGCACTCCTGGAATCTCTGAAATTGGTGGAATAATGTTCACAGCAGCACCTTGGGGCCAAAGCACCACAAAGTAGAATGATTTGATTCTTAATGACAACAAATTCCACAAATTCCACCCCCAAATACCCAGCCTCCTTTCTCCCTGACAAAAGACAGGTGGTCTGTCTGGTACCCCCAGTGGATATTCACTGGGGTAGACTGACTGTCAATTGCTTGGAGAGTTCATTTACGGAAAAAATCAGGGCAAAATGGCGGTAAGAAATGACACACTGAATGGTTAACATTTTTATTTCAAAAAAGCAGCATACTGTATGTAACACTTTCTGAGAAAATAATTAAGATAGTATAATGAAATGAATTCCATGTTTTTAAGCACAATACAGATGTATAGAATCCTTTAAATGTGAGTTTATTCAAACTTTATTTAAATAGAATGCACTTTGATTGAGAGATTTAAGGGGTGATTTCTGCATTTCACAAAATAAAAGTTCTTCTGCAAGTTTGTTTATTTATTTATTTAAACTTTACATTCTCAACATATATTACAAGGGCTTAATATTTTAATTTAGAACATACGTAGTGTATTTGAATAGCTCTTTGGGCTAATATGTGCCAAGAAAGGTACATTGTCCTTTTTATAACCAATTAAAAACAAACTAACTTTGACACAAAAAGGAATGGGGTCATAAGTTTCGTCTTATTCAAGTAGAATACAGTCTGAGATTCAAAACAGATTCTTCCTTGAAAACTGCAGTTGTTTCCCATCCTCCTAAACAAGGACAAAAGAACAAAATGCAAAAAAATATGTCACTCATTAATTCTCATTGGATTTAAATTTCCCCCTGCAGTACAATACACTAAATATCTGAGTCTTTTGCTTTATTCTGGCTATAATCACATAAACTGTTTAAAAAATAAAAACTTTTAAAATTCTGTTTTCTTCACTTTCTTCCAGATATTTTCTCCTGCCACAATAAATTGACCAGCACTCTTAGCGTCAGATACACATAGTACACACATGTAAGTGGAGAAATACATTTATGTCCTTTAAAATTCCTGGATCTACACAGACACCTCCTTTCCTGTTAGAAGCATAGATATCCAGGTTTATTCTGGAATCTCTATTTATCTCCTCAGTGTATGGCAATGTTTAGCAAAATACATATCTCTTTTCCCCTTTTCCTCTGACCCCTGCGATCCCCATTTAATTTTTACTCAAGAGCTTCATCCACTGAAAACTTTGTACAACTACATCTGCTGTATTTAAAAGAGGTTGACTCAACAACGCAAACACTCACCCACACACACGTAAGAAAAGTTTCCATCTTCCAAAGCTAACATTATTTAATATTCCTATATACCATGGAGCTTTCAGTTTGGAGTTTTTCTTAAAATATACATCCTTCCCTTGAAGCTGTCATAAAAATGGGGAGAACACCTTCTCTGATTTCAAAACCATCAAAGTAGGTTTTTAAAAACTACTTTCCAAACCCCAGGAGTAGTGTACTCGAAGGGCAAGCTCATCAGTATCTTTAGAAAATGAGTTGGGAAAAGTAAAATTTGATTCCTATTTGAACATTTATTATTGGTACCAATGAATCCTACTGACTGAGAATGTAACTATGATCATCACTAATTATGATATAGCTACAGTGAAGTAAAGCTGCATCCCATTATTTCAACGATTGAAGTCTGATAGGCCGGCTGTTTGATTTCTCTCATCCCACTGTCTATTCAACAGCTTTTCATTGCACAGACTGTTAAAAATGATTCACAAACTGTTGCTGCCTTCAAACTATATACTATAAAAGGTAGCCAAGAAATAACGGTATGTTGTACTGAACGTAAAGTAATTAGTGGCTTCAGAATATGTTTTTGACACAAAGCCTGCCTTCCCATTGTAGAAAATTTTGTCAATTTATGTGAAAATATTTATTACCTGTAACCATAGATACACAAAATCAATGTGTGTGTTATGTAACATGACATCAGTAATGCATTTGTTACTGCTTTGAGATTTCTTCTGGTCTTGATTACAGCTCTGCCAAATAACTTTTTTTTTTTTATTATACAAGGGCAAGTGATTGCTTGCTACATTTGCAATTGTAATGATAATTTTCCTGAGAATGTTAAATTATGTCTTAATTTATTCAAAAGATTTTATTTTCAAAGCAATTAAACTTATTGTTGATTGATATTTACCATCCAATGTTCCTGGAACACTAAAAGAATACGCTTTATACATAATCTTCCATTATAGCACAATGCTTGAGGGTAGCCATTTTACATAACAGCATTCAGTTGAGTCTTCAAATCAAAGAACAAAAATTATAGCAATTTCACTTGAAATCCATAAATCCATGCTCAGGATTATGTTCAACAGAATCACTAAATGTTGTTTGTAATTCAAAGATGAATGAATCAATAGAAAAATAGAACTGATAAATCATTAGTACTTTAATGCAGAGTGGAGAGAGAAACTAATAAATCATGCACTTCAAGCACTTGTTTTCCTTATGGCACGTTTGAAAACATAAAACATACAATGATAAGATGCAGGTTAATATGAATGAACAATACCAAATCTGCTCAGAATAGCATTTCATTTTATATCATAGGCTTAATGAAACACTTAAAAAAATACTATTCCATAATTTCTTCAAACAATCAGAGAATCCACCCAGGCCATGAAATACTTTAACAACAATCTAGGCCGTTATTTCCAAATAAATATTTGAAATGTCACAGAGATGGGAGTAGAGGAGGTGAGGGGGAGGGTGCAAATGCATGCATGATTAACTTCAATGAGCTCAATATTATTACAGGTATCAATTTATACTAGAAAGGAACTGATACAATCATTTACTTTCGCAAGTGTACTTAACTGACCCGTTAAAAATTACAGACGTCTATACTTATAAATGACCAAAAAAGCAAGAAATCAGCCATTGAGCTTTGATTGTGTTGTACGGCTTATTGTCTGTGAAAAGTGAGAATTTTAATTATAATTAATGGGTAATTCACTCTCTTCCAGAGTTTTAGTCATCACAAAATTGCACATTAGAACCATAGATTTTCTCCACAATGCTTAATTAATTATGCATTAACCCATTTCTCTCAAAGCATCTTTTTCTGAATCTTTGGTGGGAAACACAGTTTATTAGGCACATAGTTTCAAACATCTATTTGGTTACTGTTGTGATTAAGAATTTTCTTCTAAATTCACATGCAGAAGGGAATAAGGCTTGCCATGTTAACATACTTTACTGCCAAGTAATATTTTTCCACTTATGCCTGGAATTAAAAACAAAACTAAACAAACTAAAAACCACTTCCTACTTCTTAGCATAAGAATACTTTATACCTGATATCTTAAATTCCACTCAGAAGCATCAAGATGTCGAAGAAAAACTACTTAGATACAGCAAGTAGACAACTATTTAACAAAACCTTTCAATTAAAAGCTTCTCCTCAACTCACAGGTCAAAGATCATTGATATACTGTTTGATTCTAAAGGGAAAAGTATAGCAATCTGCAATTATGATTATTGTAGCATTATTAAGTAGTGCTTATTAATAACTGGAATCACATTTCCCGTGATATTTCCTTTTTTTGTTGTACAGGTTTTTTTTACAGGTTAGTAAATGGAAATTGGAGAAGGAATGGGTAGGAGATGAAAAAATTTATGGGAATGCATGCAACAAAAATAGGCAGTATCACTTCATGTAAACTTTTGCTTTCTTCATGCAAAGATGCTTATAAAAACTGAGACATTAAATTTTCTAATAGCTGGATTTTACATTAGCTCAGTAACAAAAACTGTTAAACCAATTCCATGATTTTGCATGAGCAGGAGACTTGAAATTGTTCAACGATTTCCAGCATAAGTGTTCCATGGCCCAATTATGCTAATTAAATCTCTAAGAATGAAAAGATACAGGATTATTCCTTGCTTCGGTTTCTTGTTCTTTTGATGAGGGAGCAGAACAACCCGGTTTTTGGAGGAGGGCCCATCAGCATCGGGGCTTGGTTCTTGTGCATAATTTTTATCTAGGGAAAAAAAAGACAAAGAGGGTACAGTAATCTCCAGATACAACACCAATTTCTGAGAATCTCTCTTAAGGTTAATAATATCCCCTGAATTACTGAAACAACGCAAGTGTAAAATGTATTTTCAGAGTTTCTATTATTTCAAAAATATTTTTAAGGAAGATAAGGTATGTATTTAAACTATATTCCAATGCTCAGGGTGATAACAAGAAATTAAATTTAATTGAAACTACATTTTAAATATCATATTACTTCTAACCTCTCTTGTAATAACACCCCCAAATTCCTTGTTCATGCCACGTGATTATCTAGTATAATTTATTGACCATTAGTTATGTATTATTTACTTAAGATAGGAAAGGCTGCACCATTATAGTATTCAGAATCCCAGTTATAGCCCAACATCAAGACGTACTTGATATCAAGGCAAGCCTTATTTACTCTGCTAATCAGATTGTTTCTCTCTTTCAATATGAACTGCAGGGCTTAATTTCAAAACAATCATTACGAATGAAAGTCAAAAGTTAGCGCGCATAAAAGGTCAGAAATGATGAACTAGCTTTCTAATTTGTTAATTAATTGGTAATAGAATAGAATCAAATATTGAAAAGCCGCTTAAAACATTCTGAGAGACTGTTCTAAAGCTACTCTTTTTGATTTCTTTGAAATAAAACTACGAATCACCTTAAATGAGACAACCTTAAAGTAGATTATGTCTGCAATTTTCTCTAATTCAAGCCTAAATTAGAGAAGACATTTTATGAATATATGCTATGCTCAAAGCTAATTGAAAGCAATTATCAAAGTGGCATTTTGTCTGTGACTTTAAGATACATTGTAAGATAATAAATGATTCTCATTATGTAATAAAAAGGTCACATCTTGCCTTTGGGCTAGTGACGCTAAGAGTTTTTCAAAAGCAATCTGAGACATTTTCTTTAGAGAACTGCGACTAATATAAGAACCATCGCTTATTAAATATCAGTTGTCACCAGCACAGCACCCGCATCAGAGATGAGTATTTCTTTCAAAAAGAAACACCACCTCATTAAAAGCTGCAAAAATATATCTCTTAAAGTGCATAGCTGACATTTTCAAGTTAAACTGAATATCCTTCACTTGTCATTGACTAATAGCAATGAAACAAAAAAAAGTGGATGTCACGTGGACACGATCATTAAAATCAGCACTGGGGCTGTTGGGAAATGGAGATTTACTTCACAGTCTAGAAAGACAGAACTATGTTAAAAATCAGGATAAACGAACAACTCTTTATTTAACTCTGTTGGAATCAGGTTATTCTGGGAAGATTCAGTGTTCTTTGTACTGTAAAGATAAGTTGCACCTGTAAAAGGCCACCAGGCTAAACCAGCCTCAAACTCTCTGGATATCTTATTTTATTTTATTTTTCTTATCTTATGAATTGGGGAATCAATAGCCAGACAGTTAAGATGCTACAATGCACCTATCTATGTAGATTGAAAAAGATCTCTACCAGATTTTCTCTCCTAATAATTCACTTTCAAATTACGCCCTACCTTATGCCATTGATTTTATACTCCTCTAGAGTATAAAACCTAATACACCATCATTCACTCATTTATTCATTTCACAAAATGTATCAAGCCCCTACTATGCCTCAGACACTGTACCATGAACCTCTAATAAACAAAGTACAATCTCTATCCCCAGTAAATTATAGTCAAGTAAGAAAGAGAAATTTAACAAGCATGTTCAATAGTGTTATAGATGCTGAAATACAAGGCTAAGCAGAAAGGCACTATTTTTTTTTAACGCTGAAAATAAAAATGAATTTTTTTATAAAAATATGTTAGTTTAAAATGAGTACCTGATGAGGCAGTTAACACATATTACTTATGTCATAACCTTAGATTCAAACAGAACGTAAGTAGCTAAGGTAAAAAAATAAAGATTTCTGATTCCCAGTTGCTGGACTAAATCCTTTAGAGGGTATGATAATATTAGGGCCTTTTGGAAAACAAGATGATTATTAACAAATTATTGTTGTTAAGATGTTGGAAGAAATATATCATTCTAGTCACAAAAGATTAGCATCAATTTATGACAAGGCATAGCCAAAATACCTCAACTTATTGTGTATGAGATTTTGTTTGCCCTTTGTATTTTTTAAGTTATTTGGATTTTCTTTGATCATAGCTATCTTTTTATTAACAATCCCTTTTAAAAGAAATCACATGTTGCTATTCCTTTGAAAAATAGCACAGTATCTCATTCAGTGCTCCTGACACAGTGGGACCCTTAATCCATACTACTGACTAATTCGAATTCTAGGTTATAGTTTCAAAGCAGGATAATGGTCCTATTTTTAAAATTATCTGTAATCTATCTTCTTGGTTATTTAAGCACTCCTATGGTCAAGGTACATAACTCTTTCTTTAATTTAACATTATTTCCGTACAAAATGCAATCTACATCTTTCTGTCTGTTATTCATAAAAATGAGAAACAATTGGCTGTTTTCCTCTTAGGGGAGATTACATGGAGGAAACTCGCACTCATAAGATGTCTAGTACGTATCCAGGCTCTTTGCATACAGTATGTCACCAGATAATTATAGGTCTTTGTATATTTGAGCAGAGCAAAAACTACTCCATTAAGGATGAGAAAAATTCCAGTCCAGGTGAACTGTTGGTACTGTAGTCACAGCAAGTCCAGGTGAGGTTTCAGAAAGCTGTAGAGACTTAAGTGTAATTTAGGTTCAGATGGGCTGTGTTGGGGGAACCTGGTTAAGGGCACCTCATCAGGCATGGGATGACTCACATGCCTGTTTCAATTCCACATCCTTATATTTTTATTACTACTTTTTTTGAGAACCTGTTATCTACAAGAAAAACAATACGGAGTAAGGAGCAGATTTTATCCCCCAAAGATTTTATTATATTAAGTCTCAGCAATCTGAAAACATGAACCAAACATTAGGTTCTCTTTGAGCGTTTCCATTTTTTTTGAGTCAGGTAGTTACTTCTTAGTTGTTTTTCAATACATCAAATATTTATGGAGCACTAGCTATGGGCAAGGCAGTTTGCAAGACTGTTTAGTTTGGAAGAGAACCTGAGATTATAATTGAGAGAGAATTGTGGGCACTCATAAGCAATGGTGATGGGGCTCCCAGGAGCTGGAATGGCCGTACGAAGGTCGAAGAGCATTGCTAGAAATGCAAGATAGATACTGTCAGAATTAGAATGGTGTTCTATTAGGAACTCTTCATTTTTACTTATCATCTATTCCTTTGGAAAACAACAGCAGCAAAAGTCTCATGACTCTTTCTACTTCTGTCTTCCTATTTCAAATTAAGATTGGACACATCTAAAAATATAAACAGAAAAAAAATGATTTCAGTTTTATAATTATTCAATATGAAATAAAAATTCACATATAGAAACCAGACGAAGGATTATAAGGCACAGTTTTCTTGTTTCTATGACGTTGTCAGGGTTGCATGGTGTGATAGAGAGCTCCACCTCATAATTGTAATATGACCAATAATAACAAGAATAAAAATAACAAGATTTGGCTTTTACTGTGTGCTGAGTATTATGCTAAGTGCTTTACACACGTTATTCACATGCTACCTGTTTCATCCAGCTCTCTGAGCTGCTCTTGACAAAAGTCTACTCCCATAAAAGTAATATTATCAAAGAACATAGAATTGAAAAACGATGTCCTAAAAGGGATAGAAGAGAGGTTTATATCTTACAGTATACGGCGAACAGTGTCTAGTCCCACTAGACTTTTGTGTTCTCTCTGAAGACTTTTAGTCCAACTAAAATTGAGGAAGACTGGAAGGTCTTCCTGCACTCATTCTCCAAGCAGTATTTGGCCCAGCTCACTGCAATTTTCTTTCCTAGCTCCCTGTCTCTCAGCATCAACTATTCCTAATACTCTTCATTGTGAAGAGTAGTTATTTTTCTTCCTCATGTGATAGGAACACCCTACTTAACACCCAGTCCCTGAATGACACATCTACCGAAGCAAGTGCTTATCAAAGCATCCTGATAAGATTGGAATAAAGATGGATCTATTCTATCTTCAAGGAATTCTCATACCTAATATCAAAAGAATATTTCTTCATAATTTAAAAAATATATTATCTAATTTTACCCTCTCAACAACCCTGGGAGGTAGGTGTCGGCACCCTTATTTTACAATACAGGACAGAAACTTAGGTTCTGTAACTTGCACTACACCACTCAAGTTGGTAAGTACAAGAGCTGGGTTTTGAAAGCTGACTCAAATCTCCCAAGCACTCCTTGTTAATTCCCACCTCTGCACTTCTGTGTCAATTAGTGCTTTGGAGAACCTTCCCTCAAACTTTGACCCCTGTCCTGCCCAGCTCAAATAACACATTATTTTGAAATTTCAAAGCACAGTGAGATAAAGAAGATTCTAAATGCCCTGTGAGAGGAAAAACAGGTCACTTACAGAAAAATAAAAATCAGCATGGCATTAAGCTTCTCAAAAACATGAGTGGTAGAAGAAAATGGAGAAAAACCTTCAAACCCCAAAAGAAGTTAATTTTATCTTAGAATTCTATACTTAGTCAATGGATTGATTAAATGCAAGGGTACAATGAAGATACTTTCATTCATAAAAGGTTCTAGAGAGTTTACCATTTATGTGTCCTTTGAACCATTTTTGAGTGTGTTCTCCAGCAGAACAGATGCGTGAGCTAAGAAAGATTAAAAAAACAGAGGGTCACATTGATAACACCAAATGCTGGTGAGGATGTGGAGCAACAGGAACTCCCATACATAGGTGCTGGGAATGCAAAATGGCGCAGCCACTTTGGAAGACAGTATGGAGGTTTCTTACACAACTAAATATACTCTTATCATATGATCCAGTGTTTTCACTCTTGGGATTTAACCAAAAAAGTTGAAAACATAGGTCTGCACAAAAACCTGTACACAGATGTCTGCAGCAGCTTTTTTCATAACTGCCAAAACTTGGAAACAACCA